AAAATGGTGCTGAAAAATTCTCAACCTGACCCACTTTCTAAAATCCAGCCAAATGATGAAATAGTTGTTTTTGATTCCCATTTAGGTTGGACTGAGAACTTTTCAGTGCCTCATATGAAAATGGTATGGATATAGTTGTCATACAGTGTTGATTTCTACCAGATTCACATCTAAATTGGTATTCAGACCATGTGTGACACTATCTAAAAACAGTTTGTCTGATATTGAGCACTTTCCCCCATAAATGTAACATATTTTTAAACGCACAGGAGATGCACATTCACACTAACCTTAACCCGTATCAATCTTCAGGTTAAAAATAGAAAATAAAACCTATAAATAACAAGGCTTCCCATTGATGTTGAAACTAGCCTTGACTGCTTTCCTCACAATAATTTCCATTCTGTTTTAGATTCATTACCAAACAGCTCCCTGCAATGAAGTACGCAGTATCTTTGCTCTTCTCATGGAACTTCTGGTAAGCAAAATTCCATTCCCAAATGACTAATGCCATTTCAACTGCATTTGGCTAGAAAAACTCAATAATTTTAGTTACCTAAACTGAATTCAACTTTTTGAAAGTTTCTAAGCTAATGATATGCATTTTACAAGGATTCTCCAAAAGTAATGCTACCTAATTTATTTCATTGTCCCACATCAGAGGCATAAGATGGTGGTAATATGGTATGACAAGAGAGGTTGGACCTTCCTGCCAGTCACCATACTTGTTACAAATTGAAAATGAGCACTAGTATGGCAGAATAGCATCTGACATGAAAGGACAGAGAAAAGAAATGTGAAGTTGAATTTCTCCATGTGGAAAAAAAATTTGCACCTATTGACATTCATTGATGCTTGCTGAATGTGTACAAATAGGGGATATGAGAACAGTTGATAGGTAATGCATTTCAGCAGCAGAATTGACAGTAATGTGTGGGACAAATAATATTCTTAAAAGCTCTCCACAACTGCCAACCCACAAAATGAGGATCACTCAAGTCAATTCATCTGTGCAACTCATCAGATTACAAACTAGGTACTGTGTGTAGAGTTAAATGTTGGCTTCAATGCTTTGGAAAATGTTTGTGCCAGATGAATCCAAGGTAGAAAGATCATCAAACACAAACCTGCCAGGATATATTGAATATTTCTTGGACTGCATCCTCACTGAGGATTGTAAGACGTGATGCCTGCATTATAAGCTGGAATCAAAATAACATTCCATTCGGTGACGGTATTGCACATTTTGCTTTTCAAAGAAAAAGGCTTCCGGTACAACTATGAGTCAGTAAAGGGGTGTGCATTGTCTTTTGCAATAGTGAAGGTGCGTGATTCTGTTGGATTTCTGGAAATTTGGACAAACCATCAATTCTGACCATCACTTCATGCAAACTGAATCTAGAAACTCTGGCTAGAGGATGCAAACATTTGCTTGCAATTGAATAATGACAGATCTCAGTGCCATGTTGAAAATACAATCATTACTGTGAAAAAAAAAAAAAAAAAAATGGTGGGGTGCAGATTTTTAAAAATGTGCAGTATGCAGTCTCTTGTTAGACACTGGCAAAAATTTGCTCTCTCCAATGCCGTTATTGTTCTCTCGGTATTTTATGTCATTTCCATGAAAATAAGATGTGTTACTTTTAGTGTAACCTGCATATTAGTTTTCATTTTTTTCCCTTCATTTTTGGTTGTTTTTCTTACACTCTTTAATCCACATATCCTCTTAGAATCAGTTTAAACCACCACCACCAACTTTTTTCCAGATCTTTTGACCATTTTGAAGAAAGTTTGTACTCTCTTGGTTTCAGGTGTATTTCTTTATGAAAATATAATATGGAAAAAACATCTGTTTAAAGTGATGCCAGGTGAGAATGTTTTGGTTAAAGTCAAAGAATATTATTGGTTTATATTATCCAAAACATTTGGATGAAAAGCCAAAATCAAAATAAAGAAAACAATTTTTGAATGTCAGAAATAAAAAAGAATATATTTGTTTTCCTTTCCTGCTGAAAACAATTATTATAAATTTATTTTTCTTATTTCAGTTACTAAAAGATCCTTTGCAGTTAAAAAGATTGAAATGGGCCGTCATTGATGGCCATGTCAATGAAAAAGGCAAAAAATTTGAAGGTCTGCTCAGTAAGTATACAAAACTTTTTCATCTTAAATTTTACCCAATGCAATAAAATATTAAAAAATTTGTTCTTTCAAGACCAGAAGAACAAAACAGTTACATAAAATATCTTTTTTCATTTGTCTGTTTTGTCATAGGAATTCATTTGTTCTCATGTTAAAAGTTATATGGCAATTATTAAATTGATCACCTGAAACAATCTATTAACACAAAATCTCAAGACCCTGTTCTATCGTTTGTTTCATAAATTACTCTTATGTTGCAAAATATTGATAAATTAATTTGTTTCTGCTTTAATTTTGATTGAATCCAAAAGAAAAATGAAATTTACCTTCCTTTTTAAGAGAATCTAATTGTTGATTGTTGATATTCGATTTTCAAAACTTTTAGGATCATAACTTTCTAACCAGTGCCTCATAATTCCCCACAAACAAATTATTGATTGGAATCTTTTTTTAAATAAGAAAAAGTATTTCATAAGTTAAGGTTGACTTTTGTCCTAGCAAATATGTCTTCTGAGTTTGGCATATGGTCAACAAATTTAGTTATCGACTTGGTATAGTTTAGTCAGATACTAGTATAATACACCTATGAAAATCAAACTCAAGATACGAGTAACTTAATTCACCCAACAAACTTGCTGAACATTATGCCATGGGAGACACTCTGGCCATAGAACTTGATTGTGATTTTCCTACTAAAAATTGTCTTTAAGAAAATATAGTCAGTTAATAAAATTTAAAAGACACACTACATTGTTGCATTTATTATCATTATTATTATTATTGCTGGGCTAAAATGAAGAATTTCTGTTTCTGCTTGCTTTCATTTTTGGTAAGCCAATTTCACTTTGGCAAAAGTGGAACTCTTTCTATCTTTTTTTTTTTTTTTACAGAAGTTTTCTCAAAGAAATTTGTTTTTGTTCTATATAAATTTAAACCAATAAAACTGGCTGTTAGAGATTCACTAAATTGAACAAATTATTTCCAAGCTAAACTAAATAAGAAAATCCAACTTTTGTTGATGTCATCAAACAAATTTGGATTTGATTTTCAATCAGCAAACGGACATCAGAAGTAAAAAAAAAAAAAAAAAAAAGTGTATTTCTATGCTATGAAGTTCCACTTTTCATAAAAGAAAACAATTTCTCTGCTGGAATTTCAGCTAAATGTAAATTAAGTTTTTAGAATTTTTTGAATTTGTTTTTACCAAAAGATTAAATGGAAAAATCATTACATAATTTGTTTCTTTCATTCTTATTTTCAATTAATGCAGTAACAAATCTATTCTTCATTAGGTTCTTTAACAGTGGAATTCAGTTCTTCTAGTGCACATGAGAAAAAATGTGTTATAAAGTTTGTATAACACTCATAGTTGCTGTTTAGTAAGACTGTACGGAAAACACTGGAAACAAGAGGTTGAGTGAAGAAAGGTTTTTATCACATGAGAATCACATGGATTGAGAATGCAGTAGTTCAGTGTGACAAGCGTATGGCTGAAAAAGTGATACGTCTTTACAACTGACATTTTTTCCAGTTTCATGAGCAGACATTCTACTAATAGCAAGAGGATGAGTCCATGTTTCAACAAGTGTAGAGAAGGTTAGTCAGTCTTTCTACACAACAAAATGTTTGATCAATCAAACTAGGATTTCTTTCTTTATTTTGCTGTTTCTTCCCTGTTCACTGGAATGATGCAGTACATTTGTCAGACATTGACAGGCTATCTTTATATTGTTTTCAAATGGAGCTTTATTCACTAAAACATTGACCACTTTTTTTTAAAGGAGAGAGACATTAAGCTATTAGACAGGGTCAGATTTCTGGATGCAACCAGTGAAAAATGATGTCACTGGTTAACTATTGCTGTATAGCAAGTATCTTTAATAATGGAAATAAATAAGAATGAATGAAAGTTTCTTCAGACAAAACTGCTTTTCTCTCTTTAACCAAAATTCTCCTCCTAATTGACTGAGAATTATTAATGTCTCCTTTTTTCTTTTTTTTCCTGACCTTCAAATTCTCTCACTTATTCTTTTTAGGCACAATACGAAGTTTCCATTTGTCTGACAGTTCTCGTTCCTATCAGTGCATCAAATTCTTGGTGCAATTGTGCAATCGATGCAGTTTGGTGAAAGACCAATTGATGAAGACATCTTCAAAATGGCAATGGGCAGTGAAATGGTTGGAAAAAAAGGCAAGAATTTCCCCCCTCACCCACCTTTCTCTGAAGACATTCTTATACTCAGGAGAGATTGTACATTTTGCCCTTTCACTTTTTTCATTTTTTTTTTTTTTTTTTTTTTTTGATGGATCAATTGTGGAAATATTTTGTGTAGAAGAGAAATTTCCATTGTGACGTGATCATTTCAGTAATGTAGGAGTCCAGAATCCTTCACAAACCCACAATCGAAACCTGCAGATTCAAAATTTTATTTGATCAAAGTTAGTAAAATTAGGTATAAGAATAAGTTTTCATGAATTTTCAAAACCATCAAAAAAAATTTTCTGTGACCTTTTTTGATATAAGAAACATTTCTTTTTAACCTCTAGAGAGCCAATAGCAGTTCCATTTGACATTTAAAAAAAAGAAATAAAATTTGTGCAAAAGTTTGCAAGAATCCAAGAAATTGCCTCACAATTTTACAGATGTTTTGAACCTTGGTTCATAGATTCAAACACCAAATATTTCTATAATATCAATAATTTTCTTTCCTCTTAAATGTTGTCCTTTTCAGTCTTTTATTTGATTCCATTATCAACTCTGTTTCAAATTGTTTTCAAAACTTAAAATTCATTTATTTCCTCAAATTAAAAAAATCTTAATATTTTTGTTTATATTTTGTGATGGTTTTAAAGTCAAAATATAAATGACCATTGCTTTTTGTTTTATATCTTGAATGTTTGTCTGACAGATGAGTGATTACTGGGCTCCTTCAAGTACAGTTCCTTTATCAAATGAAGATTCCAACCAAAAATCCTTTCAAAGAACTGTCAGTGCTCAGGTTAGTGCTTCTTCTTTATACAAATCTTGAATGATTCATTATTACAAAATTTTGTGAAAATAATTTGAATAAATTGAAAAAAACTCTTATCCATCTTTACTTATTTTTATCTTCCAACAGAATATCTTCAAAGAGATTTTCTTAGATGAAAAGGAAGAGAAAAAGATATTTTGCTTTTATTCAAGAAACTCTCGCCTCAAAAATATTACAAAATTAAAATCAATGAACAAAAACCAATAAAATAATTTCTTCATTTTTTATTATGTTGAGAATTTTTTTTCTTGAAACTGTCATTTCTCTTTTTCATGATTTATTCATCAGTAGACAAAAAGGAAATGTTCATACTTTACAAATACAGGTTTTTTTAAATTCACTGAATGTAATTGTTTTCTTTTTTGTAGAGGGAGTGGCCATGGTTAAATGTAAATAAATGGCAGAACTGACCAACAAACAGAATTTGACAAAGTTTGCAAGAAAAAGAAAAGAACAGGGCAAAAAAATAATATAAACAAGCAAACAATATATGCAAGGCAAATTAACAGTAATATGGCAAAAAGTTCACAAACTAAGAATTGGGGTTGCCACATAAGCAAATTCAGATAAGCAAATGTAGTGTTCTGATTTCAAGGTAAGACAGACAGGGACTAAGTCAGATGACATCGAGAACCAGCCTATTTTATTGGCTAGGAAGAAATCTCAGCATGCATTTTCCTATAAATTGGGGAGGGGGAAAGTGTTTTGCAGTCATTCTTAGTCAAGATTGGAACCAACATTTTTGTCCTTTTCAACTGCAAAGTCCAAAATCTGTCAGTCCTGATTTGTTTTACAAAAAATTTGAAAACATTTGCAATTCCACTAAAAAATTTTTTATTTTCTATTCAGAAAAGATTAGAAAATTTTTCACTTGTATAATTTTCAGACCCGCTTTATTGCAATTGCTTTTCTGTCATTTTTTTGAGGGACACTGACTTTGCCACTGCCCTTTTGACTGAAATTGAAGGTTATGACACTTGACCATTTTTTAACGTAGGCTGTGGTTGGTCATTAGCATTTTTTAGTCCAATTACACTTCAATGCAATCCATGACTCCCATGATATTTTATATTGTCATTTCAGAAACCCCTACTAGGGTCCCAGGGTAACAGTGTAATGGATAGCAACAGGATCAACTCCTTTCAGTGATAAGACATCAACTTCCAGTGATTCTGGTAATTCCACCAGCACCAAACGAGCCCAGCAGCAACAGCCCCCTCCCCCTCCCACTAGTAGTGAGGGTAGCAGTAGTAGTAGCAGTGACACAGTGTCAGTGTCAGAAAGTTAATAAAACCTTCTCGGTGAATGCAAAGGAATTATTCAAAAAACCAAAAAAACATCCTAAGGAAATTTAAATAATCCAACCAAAATGACAAAACTAAAAAAAAGAACAAATCAAAACTGTGTGCCTATAAAAATTTTTTGATTTAACAAAAAAAAAAAAAAAATGGAAAAATATTAAATTTAAACCTGAGTGTTATGGGATCCAGAATTTAAAAGGACTTCTTCCTGCTGGTTTCTTTTGCTGAGTCCCCAAAAGGCAAGAATTACAGATTTCAGGATGCTACAAACATGTTCCCCCCTCATGGTATTTCAAGAAATACCAGCTGTTCATCCAAATTGGTTTTGCTTTTATTCCAGTTGATGAGTCTGATAACAGATAAGCAGTTGTTGCTTTGAAAAATTTAGCCAGATGAGGAGCTTTACAATATGTGAAGAAGAAGAAAAAAAAATAGTGCAGGAAGTTAAGAAAATTGTTTTTACAGTTGATTCAATCCTGCTGTCAATTGATGTTTGACTTTCTCAAAACAAATGTCATGTGATACTATGGGTGAAGGAGGGATGAAGGAAAAGAAAGGATCATCTTCTTCTTGCCACCCACCCTAACATGCCCCCCTGCCCCTGTCCTATGATTTAAAATAGCTGGGAGAAGATGACATTCCTGACCAAGGAATCTCTTATCCCTGGCTACAACGCAACTTTGATTCTTGACAATCCTCCTTACTATCCACCCTCTCCCACCAACTCCCATAATCTGAATAACCACCCCCTCCCTCCTTTCTTTTCATTTCTCTGCCCAGGAAGAAGAAGAAGAAATGCAACACACACACACACACAATCACTCACACACAGAAGAGACATTTTCTATGGTTGATACAAACTCTTTGCTCTCTTTCTTCTTCTTCTTCTTCTTCTTGTTCCTGGCTGATGCCATCGTCAGGTATTGCTTGATATTTTTCTATTTCTACATTCACATTGATTTGCTTCCCATCTTTTATAATAATCTAATGAGTGATAGAAAAATCCATCTCATTTTATTATTTTCCTTTATCCACTTTCATGCATCTAAATTTCATGAATTCAAAGGGAAAAAAATATAGTTTAAATGGTAATTTTTCAAATCAATTAAAAAGTCTTTTTCTTTTTTTAATGAGGAATTATCATTATTATAAACTGATTTATGACAGATACCTGAAGAAGACTGGAGGTTACAACAGCCAAAACATTGTAACTCTAACAATCAAGATGAGGATTTCCATTTTTTTTCTCCATTTCATGAAATTTTAAATTCTAAATACAAAAACAATAATTGCTGTTTACAGTTAGACATAAAGCCACCGATGAGATAAAAAAATAATTTTACAAATCATTCAAAATTTAATATTCAAAAAATGTTTAATTTTTACAAGATAGTATACATCCGAAAGTCATTGGCCAAAGTGTTGCCAATTCTCATCATCAATTTTTTGGCTGTAACTGCAAAAGCAATCTTAGCTTACATAAGATGAAAATAAATCTGCTGCAAATTTATAATTGAAATGTTTTTCAGCTTTAGTTAGCAACACCATTATAAAGATTTAAATGTTAGCAACATTGCTTGCTAATGTGGTTATTATTCTTTCTTTTCTTTTTTTTAATACAAATCCAGGACTGATTTGTTTTTCTTTAAGCAAGACAGACTAATTATTTGAATATAAAATGGATTTTCTTAATTTCAGCCAGAAATATTTTGAAGCAGACAAAAATTGTTCTTTCATCCAAATGATTCAAGAAAACATTGAGTTGGTAGCAAATTATCAAAAACACAATTTGCTATTGATTATAAAAGTCAACAGCCAGTGGAGGAGGGACTCCTCCAATGGGATCAGTGACCAAGCAACCCTACAACCACTTCCAGTCAGGGGACTGATAATGATTATAAAAGAAATATATAAAGGTCATAAATATACAGTTGATCCAATATGAATGTGGTTGATTTTGTTTCAGTTTTTGATCACATTATCCTTTGAATGTAATGACCAGGAGAAGTAACTTGCAGAAAACAAAAAATAACTAAATGGAATGAAAGATAAAAAAAAAAGCAGAGAAAAAAGATAAAAGCAATAATTCATTTTAGATCAAAAAGTGTGGATCAAAATCTTCAGTGTTTTCTTTGTGTTTTGTTTGGTTTTTTTTCTAGTCATAAATTTAAAAAACACAAGACTCCTACACCTCAACAACTACTGAATGCTTTTAAGGTAGAAGACCCTTAATTTCAGGTGTAATTCATTTTTGATTGCAGTTAAAGAACCAATGTTTTAGGAATTAGAAATGTGCAAAAAGAAACAATGCATAATGAAGTTGATAACAACAGCTGAGATAAAAGTTGCATTGGAATAAAGAAAATAAAATTCTGACTTGGTCTAAAGTACATTTTAATGTACAATAATCTAGCATAGGCTTGTCAGGCAAATAGGAAAAAGAAATGGAAATTAATATTTTCTAAATTATTGAGCAATCCAAATTTCAAAATAGTTGAGATAGTCTCTTCTACCCAAGTGTGTAATTTGATTTACAAAACATTAGAATCCTATGAAGTACAAATGATTTTTGATGTTACAGAAAATATTAGAAACTATAATCTGAATAGACACACACACACACACACCTCTTTTATTGACTGCTTGTTTGTCAAACTTCAAGCAGCCATGTAAATATTCTATTATTGTCAGTTTCATTCTGATGTGCAATGTTTTCTACTTATGTTGGTATATCAGTGACCAAATTGTGAAAATGTTAGCTAAGCTGCTAACTAAACATAAAAGCTGTTTATAGATATAAGGGGCATGCAACTCTACATAAATTCTAATGATTTAAAAAGCATTTACTTTATACAATACATTTTTTAACATAATCTTCCTTGCTGATACACTTGACTTCCATCATGTAGAACAAACATTATACAATAAAAACTCCAGATCAAAATTCATTTAACTGTGTCAGGATGCAGACTTATTGATCCACCTTCATATCATCTGTAGTCACAGATCTACATTGTCATCTCTAGTCATAGATCTAAACTATCATTATCAGATTTACAAAATATAACGTATATCAGAGATTTGATTGAAAGTTTTAAGTTATTTCATAAAATAGATTATATGATAAAACTGAAATGAATATTCCACGTTTTTCATTTGACTCCCTCCACCCTTCAGGCACATTGAGTGGTTTAAACTGAATATTAATTCAGTGGGAAATAGATGGTTGAGGGTGAAAGGTTATCACAAAAGATGGGGTGGAAGAGGCATACTCCACTCCTGGATATGTGCCTAATTTAAAAAACCTGTTCAATGGTTTTGATATGAAAAGTGCAGTGGCAAGCACCTTTATTGTATTGCTTCGTCCAATACCTTTGCACAATACACCCTGTTGCAGTCCTGTTAACAAGCTTTTATAAGAATGAAAATGCATGTTTTGATCATATGACAATTGAAACAGCTTATAAAAATCTGCTATTTGCTGGTCTGTCACATGCCTTTGCAGCTCTGCTGCACACTTTTAAGCTTCAGGGTAGCATCCCAACCTCCAAGGCATCCCCAACCCCACAAGGCAAATTAGCATGAATGTAATATCTAAATAGTTTTTGTTTATTTATTTACATATGCATTTTACAGCCATCAACAATAATATAGTTATTTTCCAAGCATAGCTTAGATGTGGCACAAGGCCGAAAG